ACCCTCCCGCTTTTCAAGCAAGGGGTATGAAAAGGACTAATATAGGCAGGCAAGCATTATGGCTCATGCATTTTTTTGCTATTCAATGTCTCTGAATGTCTTTCTCAAGATTGTTGCAACTCAAAAAATCTGAAACAGTTGTCTGTATTTGAAATAATAATATTGTTCACTCAATTAACCTCCCGATCAAAGATTTTATTTTACACCATGTTCAACTCCCATGAGTGCTTTCAGTACTTTGATTTCATAAAGGTGCGACTTCATTCTGCGTTATCTTAGTAGATCAAGAAATAAAGGACAAAGGTCTACTTAACTCTTTTACTGCAAATAAAAAAAATTCAAATAATTTTCTCAAAATTGAAATAAAGGTTTTAAAAGTTTTGATATTGGAAAACTATAAGGTAAATCAAGAACGATGTTTTTGTTTAATATTTACTGATTGATAGAAAATATGAAATGTTTCATATGTTTTGGTACAGATGATACGATCAGACTTTTGTCAAAATTCTTGAGAATAACAATTTTTGTAATTTTTTTTTTTAATAATTAAAATAAATAGCTTTAATCAAGTAGATGCATGTATTAATTTTTCTCTCATAATTTCATAATAATTGGATTTCAAGGGACAAAAATCATATAAATTAAAAAGAGATAGATGCAGATGTGTTATGAACATAGAAAGTTTACTTTTGTAAACATATATTAGGAATTTGTTATCTGCATCATTTGCTTCCAAAATTGGTATAAGATTATGTACCAATTCAGGCATTCATTTTTTTTATTTGAGTCATCTGTCCTTAAATGAATTTATTCTTTTAAACTGTATGTGATAGGACTCTAAAAAGCTGACTAATAATTGCATCTCATTATATGACAAAAATACATGTAATTGATTAAAAATAGGGCCGTAATTTACACAGGAATTTACAACTTAGTGTAAAATCACAATAAAGATCCAATCCTAAATATGCAAACTTCATAAATTGAAGAGAAAATAAATTAGATATTAAGATGTAGAAGAATTATGAAGCTTAAAACAATTTAAAATAAAACTTGGGATCAAAGGTAAAGCACCAATTATTGGGTCAGATGCCTGTATGGAATAAGCATCCCCTGGCAACCGGACAACCGGTAAAAGAGTTTTTTTTTTGCCATGATCAGTGAAACTGAAAATTCTGTAGACATGCGTATCAGCGTAAAAATAATGGCCTTATATATATTGTATGTAAAGCGAAATTTGACTTTATAAGAGCCTGTTGATATCTCTTTGTATTATTTGCGAAAAGTAAAAAAAAAGAAGATCGCTCAAAGACAAGTGTTTAAACCATATGATGAAACGTATGGAGATAGTGAACAGTCTTTAAGCTGACACCATTTGCTTTTAGATAAATATAATAAAAAAAAAGAAGATCGCTCAAAGACAAGTGTTTAAACCATATGATGAAACATATGGAGATAGTGAACAGTCTTTAAGCTGACACCATTTGCTTTTAGATAAATGTGCTACTTATAACGTGAAAAGAAAGAAAAAGCTAAAATTGTAATGTTGAAGGAAATTCTAAATAGTAAATAAGTATATTACTGTAAAACGAGAAAATTTGGCGCATACGTATTTTAGCGCAAACGCAAGTGGGAATGCATTGGCGCAAATAAATTTTAGCGCTTGCACTTGTCAGTAAAATGTATAAATGTGATGTTTTGTTTTATCTTATCCACACCCGGATTCAACTTTTTGGTTAGTCAAGCACGGAAACATTATTGCTCCCATATATCAGTAAACATTCGTTAACTTTACCTCGGCACGTGTTGCTATCACATGGACGTGGTAAAATGTTAAAATTTATTTTATTTCTATTTTCAATTAAAAGAAATGGAGTATTTTTTTCATTTAAATCATATTAAAACAATGCATGCATCGACAGAAAATTACTTAGATAAAACGATAATCCTAATCAGGTATTGTCTGCAAGCTCAATTGCCATGCTTGATTGCATTGTTTACCTCGAGGCGATAGATGATTGACACGCCGAGAAGCCAAATTTGGAAGGTGCTAATGATAATAATCGGGTAACAACTACCGAGGTAACAATAGTTTAATTAAATTATAATTTGGTAGAACTTTCTGTCTTCCGAACATATGCAGTGCTAGTGTGTATATATAAAATTCTTCGACATTACCACTTCGCGCGTTCCGGTTTACATGTACATGTATTTATGTAAAAGCTTTGAACACACACACAAAATGATATTTAGACATCCTTTAGCGCACAATAAATTTTAGCGCTCAGGAGCTTTTGCGCCAAAGGCGCTAAAATTAGTAGTGCGGCAAATATTCTCGTTTTACAGTATCATCTGCCGGTTTTTGCCCAATCGTCTAGTTGTAAGAGTGCAAGAGTATTCGGCAGTAGCTGTTCCCTCCTTGCCCTCTAAGTTGTCAAGAACAAAGATGTCACATTATCCACTGTTTCTGTCCTGGATGTCCATTTATGTGGAAGGGAACATTTTGTAATCAAAGTATGCTACTGTAGTTTAAAATCATATCGTGATTGCGAGAGTCTGTCTGCTAACAATTTATATTGTTAAGAATTATATACAACAGAGGCAACATGTTGTGAACATTTGGACTCGTTTATAAACTTAAAATGGCTATAACAGATATATAGCAATAACAGCTGTAAAAAGGTGTCGCCAAAATAAAGTGATCTACAGTTTAATGATTTACCAAAGAACGAATCTTTTTTCACTTCATACAAATTTGGAAAATTGTTTTTATGATATTTAATAATCAGAACACATGTCTTAGGATAAAGACATTTTATTTTATTTACTTAGATATTTTTTATTTTATTGTAGCTTGTAAAGATGGTTACTTTGGTGTAAATTGTATGAATGCTTGCTCACAAAACTGTTCTCATACGCAGGACGAACAGGTGCTCCAAACTGCAATAAAGGTTAGATTTCTTGTATTCATATTAGTTTTTTTTTATTTTAAATATTAATTTTATAAGTAAGTAGGAATCATTTTGATGAAATATGGTCGATTTGGACCAAGTGGTTGATTTGCTTCGTTCCCTAACCAGACGAAAAAGATCCCATGGAAGAAGAAATTTCGTATACATCAGACATGGTGTCTCTCTACACAGCACACTAAAAAGTTCTGATTCGTAGGTATTTTTCTGCAGTAAGAGTGATCTGCCCTTAGAACTACACTCTAAAAAATTAAAATTTACGATATATTACTCAATTTGTAATTAATTTTAGTATTCTTAACATTTTAAAAGGCCAAGATAAATTAATTGTATATGTCATTTGCATGTATTTTCTCTATTGAAGTAATTAATAGTGATTTCTATTCAGTGATACTGTGTTGTCTTTAAACATTTTTCCCGGGGGTAAATGCCACGCTCCATACAATGAAAATTAAATAAATAACCTCAATATTAACTCCTTTATACAATATATTTTTCTCAAAGTCTAAAAAAAATTTTCACTTGTGTAGAGAGGGTACTTTAATTGAATAAACCAAGCTGTATCAATAAAGAATACAAAGTAGTCAATCCTTTTTAAAATTGATCAAATTTAAAAAATCAATATATTTTTATATATGATAACTTTGATGTACCTACATGTTTTTAGAATGCCCATCGCGTTATGGAGCAAACTGTTCTTTTAATTTAGAATATTTTCAAATTATAATTATTTTATCGACATTTGCGACAGATAGAGCAGAAATTGTCCAAGAGGATGTCAGGACGGTTACAATGGAGAGACAAACAAAATAACACTGGTAAGTTTTAATTAATATCTTATAAATAACCTTTTCACAAATATTCTGAAATAAAAGATTTCTGAAACAGACAATTACATAATGTACAGCAATAAAGTGCGTTATATGCTGTTCGAAAGAGAATGATAAACCAATTATTCCTCTGCTTTTCCACTGATATAAGATTTATTTCAATATCGATAGAGAGGCCTTGATTTTAGTATGTTATTGAACAAAATTTAATCTCCTCTCGAAAGTTTGACTTATTTGTTATTATTTTAACTTAGCGAATAAACGTAGTAAACAAAACATTTAAAAAATCTTGCATTAATAAGGAACCAGAGTCATGATTTTTCATTTCATAGAATGTGAACAAAGAAATGAAAACGATTTGCATTTCGAAAAAATGTATTGTTGATTGAATCCAAAACGTTGTCTCAATATTTCATTCTAGCTTGTTTAATGTTTAAAGTTACTACATATCAAAAAATGTATACTACATTTTTCTTTCAAATAGATTATGTAGGTGCGAATTAAAAGCAAACTTTGGATTCTGATTACCAAATGGTTGGATCGTACGTCTCACTCGAACTGAATTTTGTTTTGATTGGAGTAACCTTTCTTTTAATAAGGTATGCAGGTAAGGTATGTTTCCTTCATCCCAAATGATAATATTGCATTACTGTACACATAGGGCTCGAGATTTAAGGATTAGGAAAATGTTGTGACAAGAAATATATATGGAATAGATTATTACTAAATTCAGCTAAATACATTTATATAATATCATTTAACCTGAGAGAGAGAGAGAGAGAGAGAGAGAGAGAGAGAGAGAGAGAGAGGGTAAGAAATTATCACGTTTTTATGCATATTCAGTTAATATAAATAATTTTTCATGTATATATTTGAAAAAAATTCTGTAACCCTCTTGTCCAGCAGGATGGATCTCAATTAGCAACAAGCAACATAAATGTTTTAATATAGTTTTTCCATAGCTATATACATGTCATTCAATAATAAAAGGAAAAAATATACTATCAGTTTGTTCATATCCATTATATTTTTCTTGCCTCTCTATTTCTGCACAATAGTGAGCCTCAATCTTATCATCTTCTTAACAATTGTATACTTTTCACACCCAAACGATTTTATTTGAATCTATTACATGGACTACTTAGACTTAACAGGGATTTTTAAAAGAAATAAAAACGAAATGAGAACTAGATTCGTTCCATGACAGTTGCGTCTTTAGTTTCATTCACTTCAGTGATGTCTACAGTTTCTGTTACATCAGTGTGGTATTCATTTTCAGTCACATAAGTAGTCTTTAGTGTCAGTCATTTCCGTGGTGTCCCCAGTTTTGGTAACCTCGGTGGTGTCTTTAGTTTCAGCCTCATCAGTAGTGTCTCCAGTTTCAGTCACTTGAGTGGCGCCCTCAGTTTCACTTATCTTTGTGGTGCTCGCTGATTTGGTCCCCGGGAAATCCTTTTCAATTGCTTTCTCCTTGATTGTATCCTTGTCATCTTAAAGAAAGAAATATTATAAAAATGTTTATTGGTCCTTATTTACTATAACACTTTAATTTTTTTTTCTTTCAATACATTTTACAACAAGAAATATGTCCATAGGAAAGAATGCCCCGATGACGATATATTAGTAAAGCAACATGAAAATTTGTGTGTGTATAAAATTTGATCAGTTTGGTTCAGGTAGGGCTTATAGTTACTAGGGAATAAAAATGTAGGTCCGATCCAGCATTCGAAGCAAGTCTGGTAGTGTCCATCTCTAGATGCATCATCCATGCAAGTTTGATTCAGGCAGGGCTCATAGCTACTTGGGAATGAAAATATAGGTCAGATCCAGCATCCGAAGCAAGTCTGGTAGTGTCCATCCCAAGATGCATCACCCATGCAAGTTTAGTTCAGATAGGACTTATAGTTACTTGTGCATGAAAATATAGGTCAGATCCAGCATCCGAAGCAAGTCTGGCAGTGTTCATCCCTAGATGCATCATCCATGCTAGTTTGGTTCAGGTAGGGCTTATAGCTAGCATCATCCATGCTATTTGGTTCAGTTACGGCTGATAGTTACTTGGGAATGAAAATGTAGGTCAGATCCAGCATCCGATGCAAGTCTGGTAGTGTCCATCTCTAGATGCATTATCCATGCAAGTTTGGTCCGAATAGGGCTTAAAGTTCCTTAGGAATGGACTTGTTCCAAAAACTTTAACCTTGTCACTCATCTGGAAAATATAGGTCAGATCCAGTATCCGAAGCAAGTCTGGTAGTGATCAACCCTAGATGCATCATCCATGAAAGTTTGGTTTGGGTAGGGCTTATAGTTACTTGGAAATGGACCTGCTCCAAAAACAATAACCTGGTCACTCATCTGGAAAATGTAGGTCAGATCCAGCATCCGAAGCAAGTCTGGTAGTGTCCATCCTTAGATGCATTATCCGTGCAAGTTTGTATCAACATGTGAAGTTTGATGACACCATCTTGAATGGTATGTTTAAAACTGAGCGAAACACTAATTTAAGACAAGCTAATTCAGAGAATTTGTGTCCCCCGCTTAGGGAAAAAGTAAACCATGCGCAGGGGGTGGGGGGTTGGATCCCCTTAACTGAATTTGTAGAATTATTAAATGTATACTAAAGCAAATAAAATATGCCAATATGGATATAAAGGTTTGATTGATTATTCTTTTTTATGTGTGTAGATGATTCTTTTAATATGGAATATTTATCACACTGTAATGATGATTTTATGTGTTTGTACAAGCCAGACCTCATTAATTTTTCATTTCACATGCTGAATACTATCATTTAGTAAAAAAAAAGTATTTCGAAAAAAAAATTGGATTTCCCGGGATTCGAACCCTGGTCCTCTCTCATGTTAAGCGAGAGACATACCACTACACCACGGAGCCGCGATATCATGGCGAAATTATATACAAACATTAAGTCACATACATGTATACTCGTATATTCACGTTCGATATAGTGTCAAAATTTAACACAATGCATGTTGTCTAATTTAACCTTTATTAAACAGTTCTAATAGATGTAATAAGAATATAAAGTCCGCCGAGAACCTGTTTTTTTTATACGTAACAACTCTCCTTCATGCCCCTGTGCTAAAAATAGCGACATGTACTAATAAAACGAACGGGGCGGGACACTTTGAGAGAGGTGAGAGAGGTCCTAGGGACTTTTGGTATAAAATTACATAGCAAAAGCTCAACATCCTCTTGATTGATTGATTGATTGTATATTGTTTAACGTCCCTCTCGAGAATTTTTTTTTACTCATATGGAGACGCCACCACTTGCCGGTGGAGAGCTACAAATTTTGACCTATGCTCGGCACTCAGGGCCTTTGAGCAGTGAGGGATCTTTTTCGTGCCAGCACCTTCTGCGACACGGGGCCTCGGTTTATACGGTCTCATCCGAAGGACCGGTCTTCACGTCCCGCAGTGGGATTCGAACCCGCGACGTAAAACATCCTCTTGAAATATCGTCCGAAAACGATAGTGTTACACACAAACAGAATGTATACATTTATGACCTTGACCTTTGACCTTTTGACCTCAAAATCAATAGGGGTCTTTTTTAGTCCATAGAGAGTTGCTATGCGCAGTTTCATTGCAAAAGCTCAAAGGGTTCTCGAGATATCGTGTGGAAACAAAAGCGTTACAGACAGACAGAAAGATGGACGGACGGACGGACAGACCCAAATAAATATCCCCCACTTTTCAAGCGGGGGACAAAAAGTGAGGTCAAGGTCAATGGAAAAGTCAAGGTCAAAAAATGTTGATGCAGTTGCATATCCTCATCAATATCTATCATCATATAAAGTTTGATGAAAATATCTTGGATAGTTTCTTTGAAAGTCAGCTTTGAACAGAGCTAAACGCAAAGTGTGACGGAAGGACGGAAGGACAGAAGGACGGAAGGACGGAACACGGACATGACAAACACTATATGCCCCGGCCATTTCATGGCAGGGCATAAAAATTCTACCAAGCGATTTATTGACTTAGATGACGTTGTAGTATCTATTCCTAATTTCTAATTTTGATATCAAATTGCACATAATTTGTCAATCTATTTCAGTTGTTTTTTTTATATAACACACTAGTATGCAAATATTCATATTCATACTTTGGATATCTTTTATCATAAGTGATTGATTGATTAGATACACAAATAAAATGAACCATGACAAAAAATGTTTTATTGTTTATACTCATCATTATTCAACCCCCCTACCTTGCGGTGTGTTTTCCTTCTCTATGTATTTAAACACGGACAGAGTGTTGTCGTCCAAAGATCCAACCCAAAGATCATTTTTGAAATGGTAACTCAAACCTCGAAACTCAGTTATTCCATCCTCAGTCGTCAGTAAATATTGAAGAAAATACCCATCCTTATCCAGCATGCGGACAGTGTAGGTGGACGTATCACAAATAAGGATATGTAACAGAGAGTTTGTGCAAATGCTCCTGGAGAAAGTTCTTCATGTCGATTATCTGGGTAGCAGAAGCGAATCTCTCCCTCCCGATCCTTCACTACCACACGATTCTAATCCGACTCTATGACATCTCCATTAAGATTCTCTGCTATATACACAGGATATGTGAAGAGTTTCCTTCCAGTCCATGTGTACTGGATGGTTTGGGTCTCTTGACCTTTCACGTTATAACGAGCTATCCTTGCTCCCCTTTCTTCTGCAGGGCCAGGAACTCTTTTTAACATTCCAACCAACAGATCTCCAGAAATGCGAGATAAACAAACACACCGAGGGCTCCATGACTCTGATGATTTTATGAATGGAATCTTTGTTTTATTATGTGCAGAAAGCTTGTTGATGTTATAGTTCTCGTCAATATAAATGAGATCACCGTCCTGGGTGACTGAATGATTACCTCTAGTGTTATCTATATCTGTTAGACAATCTAACGTTTCTCCTAATTCGTCTGTTAATATAAGATTTCTAGATGATTCAGTTACCCAAGCACGGTCTGCATCCACACAAAAATGTGATATCCTTTTTTAATACCTTTAACGCTGAAAGATTTCTGAAGCACCGCTTTAGACAGCATCTCATTGACAAGAAACATTCATTAAGATACTTTTATTTGAAGATTGGACGTCATTAAGAATACGAAAACATCATCTCAGTTCAATGTTATATATTCATGAAAAACACTAGTCTTTTTTCAAGAGGCAAAGTTTATTTTCATCTCTATTGGAATAAAAGATAAAAAAAAACTAAAAAAAGAAAAAGAAAAACAAAACAAAAGAAATATGCAACATAATCATCGTACGAGGGCTGATAAAAAAGTTCGCAAACTAATTCTCTATCTACCTAACTACAGTTCTGACAAGAATGAAATTTGTCACAAATATAGCCCTAAACATGTGCTTTATGCAGTATGAGTCATGTTGAAATGTGCGTCATAATTATGACGTCATGATGTTAAAATGACGTCAATATAGAGGCGACTGCGACGAAAATGGATGAGTCAATCGTACTTGAACAAAGAACTATAATAAAATTTTATGTAAAACTAGGTAAATCCTTCACGGACATATACGATGATTTACATAAAGTTTATGGGGAATGTGGGCTTTCAAAAGGTACAATAAGTAAGTGGATGAAACGTTATATTGAGGGAAGGGAGACGGTGAAAGATGATGATAGATCTGGGTGCCCGCTGAAGGTAAGTACCAAGATAAACGTGTCTGAGGTTGAACAATATGTAATGAAAGATTGAAGAGTTACGATTAGGGAAATAGCTAAAGATCTTAGCATGTCCTGTGGAACAGTTCAGAAGATTTTAACGAGTAAGCTTAACATGCGGCGAGTTTGTGCGAGATGGGTCCCTCGCCTCCTTCAATGTATTTATACGCCAGTCATGTTCCATACGTATACATGCAGGTTGAACGTTGACCTTTCAGTAGTATTTCAATATAGAGAAATTTACATGCCACAGGTATCACGGAGAATAAACAAAATTTACTTTTGTAGTGTTTATCGCAGGGAAAACAATTGGAAATGGAAATATTTGCTTATCAATTCTTTTTTGCATCTTTAATTCAGTATTAATGATTTATCGTACTGTCGCACATCTAGAAGTGCAATGTATCCCAAGCGTTTTTTTCATATTTATTTCGTTACTATAAACAAACTTTTATTCGCGTGGAAGAAATATCCGCAAGTTCCGCGATCTACTTTAACTCGCGAATATTAATTGCCGCGAAGAACTCATTTTCCTCAAGTATTTGTAGAGAATGTTTCCTCAGTCGCTAATATTAATCGTCGCAGATTGATTTTAAATTGATGAATAGCCAAAAATAGTTTGTTTACAGAAGTTACCAACGCCTCATAATCATTCCTAATTATAGGGCAGTGCTATTGAATTTACTGGTTAAAATATATGCCCCTTTATCATGAAATCTATCACTATCTATAACTATAAGGTGTAATTTTAAAAAGTGAATTAAAAAAAACATACCTGATTCCTCCTTTTTATACATAAACTTAACAAGAAAGAAAGGTATAGATGTAAATATACTTTAAAAAATGATTGGAATGAAAACTTTTACAACAAAATGTCTTATATAGCAGACATAAGCTATAGTCATTTGGGATAACATAACAAAATCGTAACATTTTTAAACTCTGAGGACAATGGGTAGAAGCCAGTGCTCGAGAAAGTCTGGCCACGTGTATCTGTATAATTCTTGGCATAGAAAATACATGTACTTGTCTTTAGTCCTAAAAGAAAATCTAAGATTCGGTTGAATTTCTGCATTTTTTGAAATGCCCCGATTGTCTAAAGATTAAAGTGAACGTTTCATAGGGATGCCCCAAGCAGGCATGTCCCAAAACTCTGTCGCAGCTTCCTCTGAAGACAATTCCAGACCACTGGATCTACTGATGACCGGACCCGCAGTGGAAGACCAAGAGCTTTCACCTAAAAGGTGGACTGTAAAATCTGTTTTCTCCATCTGCGAAACAGATTTTTAACTGCGGTAGATACTATTCACAAAGTTTTAGGTAGGAGGATTAGCCCTAAGACAGCGTGAAACCGACCGAAGCATTGCGGTTCGAAAGCCTGTAGCCCATAGACCGCTACAAACTTGGGCACGTCATCACTTGCGCTTTCATTTGCAAGACTGGTCTAGAGTACTCTTTAGTGATGAGTATCTTTTTAGTTTGAATTGGCGATGGAATAACCCGTGTCTGGAGGCGAATTGGAATGCGTTTTTCAGGTTGCTGTGAGACGGAAGTAGACAGTTTTGTGGTGGTAGTGTAATGGTTCTGGGAGGAACTTTTTGGAGGAAACCGTATAAGATTTAGTGAACGGTAAGCTGAAAGCTCAAAGATACAGAGATGAATGCAACAGCACACAGGGCTCGAACAACAAGAGATTTTCTGAAGTAAAACAACGTGGAATTTCTAGACTGGCCCTCAAAATCTCCGAATCTCTCGTAAATTGAACATGTTTGGGATGAGTTGGGTATGATAGTAAGGATGCGCAGACCCAACCCGCAGAGTCTTTTGCAACTGGCGACAGCATTAGAAGAGTAATAAGATAATATCTAGGGACACATAATTCGACGATATGTTTCCTCTATGTGTCGCAGAACTGAATGCAGGCGGTGGTCACACAATGTACTGCCTTGTTAAATCATATCAAAACCCCAGGTTAGATCAAAGAACTGTTCTAAGCCCAAGTGTTTAAAAAGAATATTTTCAAACAACGGTACCTTATTATTATAACCAAATACTCTTTTGATTCTATAACTTTTAATATATTGGCAGCAAATTATTTCTACTATACCTTTCTTTTTTTGTGTAGTTTATAATACATGCATGTTAATTCAAGTAGTCATTGATTTAAAAAAAACATAATTACCTTCCAGATAACTTTCCTTCTCTATGTATTTAAACACGGACAGAGTGTTGTCATCCAATGATCCAACCCAGAGTAGGTCATTTTAAAATCATAACTCAAGCTTCGAAATTCAGTAATCCCATATTCGTATGAGAATGTGAAAAAAAAATGTATGGACGGAGAGCTACAGTGACACCCATTGTAAAAACTGCATATTATTGCGCACAAAAAGGGCTTTGTTTCTCGATTTATTTCTCCATGTTTTTAAACTGTCATCTCAAAATATTACTAACCGTGTGTTCCTACATTGTAGCATATTATTTCACTTATTGCACGACAAAACATCCTTTATAACTGTTGTTAATACATCTAGACCTCCTGGTCCTGAAATTAAGATCATCGAAAATTTCATCTATTTATACTGCCATTTTGGTTTGCAAGATAATTCGGTCCAACATGCTTCGTGCAGATGTCAACTACGAGAGTACTTGAAAAGTGAGAAAGACATTTATTGAAATCTATTTTTTACGATTGAGGTAATAATTTGGAAGAATTAATCCAGAACTAAGTGCAACTTTTTGTGTACAATAAATATAAAGATTTTACTATAGGTGGAACTTCAGCTCTCCGGTCTGTCAATATTTTTTTCGGAGAGCTGCAGTTCTGCAGCAACAATAGTTCAAATATACAATATAATGGGCGTAAAAGTTTTCTGCGAACAGAAATGAATATTCAATGATCGAAAAATGCTTTAATACTAAAAAAAGTTTGCTAATAGGATACTTTTTTAGTTCCAGATTTAATAAAACCTGCACATAATAATCAACATTTAAAACAATGTTATTATGGCGTGTAAGTTTATTTTTTCAAAACATGAGATTAAATCATTGATTTAAGATAGAGTCTCGCACATATAAAACAGCTAGTGATATACATTTTTGTTCTAATTTGGCTTAGTATGATCTAATATTGCTTGAACTTCTGACAAGATATTAAACATCTAAAAATTTGACATGTGTACCTTGAGTATACAATGTTTTTTTTTTCGAAATAACGTAAACAAGACATATTTTAAATTGCAAGAGAAAGGATTACGTAAAAAATACAGCCCAAAATATGTTAAAAAAAAATCAATATTTGCTATGTATGAATAAATATGTAAATCAAAAAAACATTTACAGTACAGTGTTTCATTTTCTATAAATTCAAGGGGCACAGTTTCTAGAGGAAAAATCTGTTAGAGTTGCACTTTAAATGCTAAAACACATAACTTAAATCAAATAAGATTTGGGAGACATAAATCATACAGTTACTAATATTTCTACCAGTATGGGACTGCTTTCTATAACCTCCTAGCTTTATCTTATTCAACCTGCAGATGCCGAGACTCTTTGTAATTTGAGGCAATATACATAATTATAGTCACAATTTCTCTATTTATGTCGAGATACTAATTGATTGCAAGACCACTTTCTTCGATTCACAAAGCACAACAATAATGTTGGATTCAACAGTTTGCTATTTTAGACAAGTTTACCTGTAGTTAAGGTAGGATTCTTCTATTATTTCTTGTATT